TTAAAAGTATTGTTTACATTGTCATTTGTAAAAACATCATCCCATAGTTCATAGCTTAGCATTTCTTGAAATTTAGTCATATTATAATTACTATAATTTCTCATGTACTGAGGATTACCTACTTGTTCAGATGACATTATATTATCAGTTATTATCATTTGAGCATCATGATCAGATAGTCCGTTAATTATTTGTTTAATTGTATAATTTCTAGTCTTTTTTTATATATATGTTGTCAATAGCTGTTTTTGATACCTTAACAATTCGTGTTGGAAAATTAACCGTACCTATTAGATTGTATGTATTTAAGAGTGCATCAAGTTGTTACCTTCTATCACAATTTTCTAAATAATTTATATTTACATCACCACATATAACATATTTGACTTTATTATTATGTAGCTTATTCAAGATGGCATCCAATTTTTGCAAAAGATTGCTGAAGTTTCCAGTAGGTGACCTATAAATAGCTAATATGATCAATGTGATATATGAAAAACTTTGCTTCCTGGGGTTTGTAAATTCGGTAATATACATTTTTTGAAAATGACATTAGATCAATTTTATTAATGTTGGACAAAATCACCACTTTTCTTCTTCTGCTACCTGGAATAGGTATGAACCTGTTCCAGCTTCCCATCTCTTTTTTCCTGCTCCATTTCTTTTTCATTAGGTTTAAGCCATAAGATTCTTTCATTAATTCTGTTATCTTCAGCTGTCTGCATGTGTTGTAACTGCTTCTGTTTATGTGCTCTTGACTCTTTTCATCTTTGCAGTATTCACAAAGATTTTGATTTACAATATTATCCCTCACCATTTCTCAGTAGTTATAATTTATTAATCTTCATAAAATTACATTCCTATATTTTGCAATTTGGCTAATTTTGTTTTCATAGAAGGTAACTTTTACACACTTATGTAAATGTTGGAGCAGGCATCAGTTTTATTGAGCAAGGCGGCTCAAGTGGAACTGCTTGTGATTTGTATTTGGGAGATGTCCAGTTCGAATCTCAGTTAGGACAACACGTATCCTGACTAAGGTTTTTTGTGACATTCTTCTGTCCATCCAGGCAGATGCCTTGGTAGTACCCTAAATTAGACCACGGTAATTTCCTTCAAATTTTTTCTAATCTATCATTCACTGTCATCCAACCATTCAACACTTAGGGTCCAAGTTACTGTTAAGTACAGGGGATGGACAAAAGTATGGAAACACCCAACAAAAAACACATTACCGTGACTAATATGGTGTAGGACAACCTCTGGCTTGCAGTCTCCTTGGAATGAATAAATAGAGGTCCTGTATGATTTGCAAGGGAATATTGTACCATTCTTCCTGAAAAACATGGTAAGTTGTCTTATCAATGATGGAGGTGGATAGCGCGCATGCAGATTGCTCTCCAAAACAGACCACAAAGTCTCAGTAATATTGATATCTGGTGATTGTGGGGGCCATGGCAGACGTGACACTTCATCTTCGTTCTCAGGAAACTAGTCCTGGATGATGTGAGCTATGTGAACACAGGCATTGTTGGCTTGGTAAATGGCATCACCATTTTTTTTATTGACTGCGTTTTTACAGTCTGCTCTCTTATTTGTAGAGCATTAAGTAAATGGCATCACCATTAGGGAACAAAGTTTCCACCATGGGATGGACCTGGTCGCCCAAAATGGTCACATAGTCGTTGGCAGTGACGTGACCTTGCAGGGTAATGATGGGTCCGACAGAATACCACGATATGGCTGCCCATACCATGATCAAACCCCCGCCATGTTTCACTCTTGGCAGGAAACAATCTGGATCGTAAGCTTGGGATGGCGTTCTCCAGACATAAACTCGGCCAGAAGTCGGAATCAATGTGAAGGTGGACTCATCCAACCAAATGACCGTCTTCCATTGCTCCATAGTCCAGGTTTTATGACTTTGGCACCACACTGTCCTCTTAGTGGCATTTTGATCAGTGATGAGTGGCTTTGGAATTGCACCTCGTCCAGAAATACCCTGCTTGTGGAGTTCCCTTCATACTGTTTTCGTTCTGACAGGGTTTGTGAGCATGACATTCAGTTCAGCAGTCACTTTTGCAGCTGTAGTCTTCCTATTTTTCGTCACAATCCTACACAGTGTTCGTCTATCTCGATCACTCAACACACATTTCTGTCCACGCTGGTGTTAATTGGATGTGGTTTTTTCAGTCCTCCTGTATGCGGTCATAATCTTTGATACTGTGCCTCGTGAAACACCAAAAACTTGGGCTACCTTGGTTATGGAAGCACCCACCATATGGGTCCCAACAATTTGCCCACTTTCGAATTCTGTTAGCTCTGATGTGATGCACAAAAAATTGCACAGAACACTGTCTCGACAACAAATGAAGCTTGCAACGTATTGCAGAGGTTGTACAGGTAGTGGTGTTGGACAGATACGACAGCGTGTCCTACAAACGCTGCTAAAGTAAACACTTCAATTCAGGCATGCATTTCACGAGGTGTTTCCATATTTTTGTCCATCCCCTAAAACTTGACAGTGTTGAGTGGTAGGTTAATGGTGAAGGAGGAATTGGAATGGGTGTAGAAGGAAGCAGTCATGGACTAATATGGGGTACTATACTAGAATTTGCCTAGAAAAACAGAACTACAAGAAATCTCATCTGTGTTCATGACTGAGATTTGACCAAGCATATCTGAAATGCAAGACAGAAGCATTACTGCTTGAATGAGTATGTCCAGTGCTGTTGGACCAATTGCTGGACATGTGTAAGAAGTAAGTAAAATATATAACAGCAATGCTGTGAATTTGGATTGAGATGTATCAGATGAAAGAAGTAGGAGACAAATAGAAACAAATGTAGGAAGAGAACTTACAGGAGAATGCAGAAGACTCTGTCATGAGATGATCCAAGTATGAGGAAACCTTAGTAGATGGTGATGTATCGAAAACATACTTGAATTTCAGAAACAAATAATGCTTAAAATATCCATAATATGGTTTGTGGAGGTCTCTTTAATAGCTAAGGCTTGTGTTTTTTGTTCCCAGGGTTCTTGTAACCAGTGGGTCTACAACTAGAAGAGTAGATGCTACCACAGCTGTTACTACTACTGAAATGATATCAACCCAAAAAGAAATATTAAGAGCTTCTGCTGATCCAATCACAGAGAACATGCATGATTCATCTGCTGCCAGTATTCTTTCAGATAACACTCAGAAGATTACTTGTAAAAATCTTTCCCCTTCAGACAGGCAAGATGGAGTGCCAATATCCAGTGAGGCTTATAGTATCTCTTTCAGGTATGAGTTGTACTGCCAATATTCAAATGTTGAATCTGCCTATACTGGTTGTTTTTATACTAGGTCAATATTTGAAGTTTGACACATTTGATGCCAACCACTACCATAAATTCTGAAAATCAGAACCAGTGAGAAGGGCAGCCAGTGCTATGACAACTAATCATCTAAAGATAGGAGTACAGTGATTTCATAAAATACTGTTGTGTCAGATATATGAGGGCTATTCGGAAGGTAGCCTCTATTTATTTTAGGTGCCTAAGGTAGGCGTGGGGGGAGAGCTCACATATGCCAAGTAGCATCACATGATTCATTTGCCATCTAAACCATCACATAACTGGTCACCTAATGTTTGTTCTATACAGAGTGAGTTACGATGTGTCTTGTGACTAATAATCCCACCAGCTGCCAAATTCACACTGTTCTCCGCTTTCTTCACGCTAAAATCATGAGTACTGTGGAAGTGCATTGTGAATTAATGCAGTTTATGGCCAAAATGTAATCAATGAAGGAACTGTAAGACAGTAGTGTAGAACATTAAAAGATGGGCAAACAAATGTTCATGATGAAGAGCAGATTGGTCGGCCATCTGTAGTGAGTGATGGATGATCTTGTTCAAAGTTTTGACCAAAAAATTAGTGAAAGATGGCACTTCACAATTTCAGAACTTTCTTTTGAATTTTCACAAATTTCATGCACTCTTCTCTATGAGATTATTACAGACTAGGCTATCACAAGTTGTGTGCAAGATGGGTTTAAAAAATGCTCAAGGTTACAAAACTCAGAGAATGGCTTCCGCTTTGACTTTTTAGAGCTGTCTCACAAAGGTAGCAATGAACCTTGGATTTGATATGTGTATGTTGAAACTAAGGAGCAGTCAAAGCAGTTGATGCACATGTATTCACCAAACATGCTGAAAATTTAAACAAGCATTGTCTGCCAGAAAGCAGATGACATCTGTTTTCTGTGGCAGGAAAGGAGTGCTGGTAGTGGAATTCATGCAAGAAGGGACGATAGTAATGTCAGAAGTGTGTTATGAAACACCAAAAAAAAAATTGCATACAGCCATTCAGAACAAGAAGTGTGGAATGCTGACATCCTGTATACTTGTAGTGCTCCTCCATGACAATGCGCATCCACAAACAGCTGGTGGCACTATAGTACTGCTGGAGAATTTCAACTGGGAGTTATTTGACCACCTTCCATACAGCCCTGAACTTGCTCTGAGTTACTGCCACCTGTTTACCTACCTGAAGAACTGGCTGGCATGACAGCACTTGAACAATAATGAAGAATTGATGGAAGGGAGCTCATAGATGGCAGACTTCCATGACATAGGCATGCAAAAATTTGTTGCACGATGTGACAGGTGCCTCAGTTCTGGCAGTGAGTACATTGGGAAATAGCTGAAGCATGTACATGTTTTTTAATACATTTTTCCTCATTCCTTGCTCTGTTAGCAGCTCACTAGGGATTATTTTCTGAATAACCCTCATACATCGGTGTACAGCACCAAATGTAATGAATCAGCCATATCATAAACCAGTAGGTACAGAATTGTAGTTGATTTCCTGCAGTAATGCGAATCCAAGATGGCAGGATGTCCCCATTACACCTACTTACAGATTTTTTTTTAAATACATTGAAATACCAATTTAGCCTTGTACATAGGAACATGCATTTTAATATTGAAATTCACATCTCTTTCTCTAGAAAGAAAGGTGCTGGTAATCAGATGTGACTTAATAGTGGTTACAGTAATTTGTACTATACAGAAAAGTTTCAACGTTATACAAAGTAGAAGATAATGCTGGAACATGAATGAAGATAAAAAGTTCTTTTTTTTTTCACTCCACATTTGTAGTGCCTTAATTTGTATTAATAAAATATTCCTCATTTTGTGTTTCAAGAAACAGTTGCTGCTGTGGAGTACTGTTGCTTGCTTCCCTAAATAAACTCTATTTAAGTGTAAACAGCACATGAAATTATTATAATTTTCATGGAGTGTTTGTGATATAGTAATTCATATTTGAACTGTGGTGAAAGACACTTCTTCAATACGTTCTTCCCGTAGCATATTTAGAGTTTAAAAGCCATCTAATAAAGGTGTACTTTACTACACTGTTTCTTTTTTCATTTAGCCCAGCAATATAAATATTTATTCTTTCAGCTTCAAACACTTTTGTCTTTTTTCCAAATAATTTTGTCAGAAATGTGACATTTTTCATGTTTCAAATATTTCAAGGAAGCTTATTATTTAAATTCACTTAAAATAGAGCTACAGTGTTATCATACTGAAGCATGGAGAAGTTTGATGGATGCCATAATTTTATAGGCATTTTTATTTGAATTTGGTTATGCTGCTATGCAGATATTCAAGAATGGTTTAAATATTGCTAATGGGCCAGTTAACCCGTTTTATACCGAAATAAGCAATAATTTAAGCAACAGGATACACATTTTGATGCATATGATTTCTTAAACCAAGAAATTCTCAATATGGAAATTTCCAATACAGTTCAGATATAATATTGTTGGTGTTACAAAGAAATGTGAAAATACTATGAATTGTGATTTAATTGCAGTAAGTGACTGAATTCACCTTTAAAGACCTGCTAAGGCAAATAAATGTACTTAAATATATTGAGTTACATGCCACTCTTATTCACGTATTGTTCTAAAAGCGACTTTATGTGCAGGATTGAGGAGGACTTCAATTCAACTGTGGGTAAACAAAGGGAACAGTTCAAACAGAAACTACGTTGTGAAATCTTGGCAGTAGACCCACAAATACCCACAAGAATGATTCAAGGCATTGATTTATCTCCAGGTATAGTAATATACAAATTAATAAAATAGTTGTTTTCAAATATAACTCTAAATGTTAATAATATTGTCACGTGACAAATAAATTTACATGGGTCTCAGTTTTAGTGGACACTCACACTTACACCTTACAATTATTATCGGTTGCAGTGTCACTTGACTTCTGGCCCAGTACTCCAATGCAAAGTCTCAACTATCCTTGGCCATATTTGGATCTAAACTGTCTTCGGTGGCGCCCATCCCAATACTGGCTTCTTGCTTTCTTCTCCTATATCGTATGGCGTCTAGGTTCTAACTAACTTGGCAAATGCCTTCAACCCCTTTTATAACCTCAGCCACTGCTATGCAATGAACCCTCATTATAACCATGGAGACTCATCTCTGGGCAGATTCGGCATTCTCTAGGCATTTTTCAAGGCATTTGTTAAAGCGAAATTATAAAATTTAGGCTAAATCTGTGCATGGAAGAATCAATTGAAGTTTTGTACAATGAAGCATTAGACTGCATGTTGTTTTATCAAAAAGAATTAACTAAAAGTAGAGTCTGCCCATAAACACAGGTTCTTTTGCTGTCATTTACTTGCACTGTACAAAACTGAAGAGTCTGGGATCAGTGTGATGATTGTATGAATTATTTGTAGGTAGCATCATTGTTACGGTGAGGCTTGTGGATACAGATGTGAAGACTGCAAAAGAAGTGATTCCAGCCATTGCTCGGGTCATACAAAATGGTGATCTAAATTTACATGACCTTGGTAATCGAAAATTGAATGTTCCTGCACAGACAGTGACAATTATAGAACCCTACAAACCTGGTAAAGTATGGTTGACTTTGTAAGATTTGAGGCTTTCACGGCGGTGACTATGAAGAAAGCAGTCTTCTGGGATTTGGCACCGTGTATATATGGTGTTAACCGACGTTTCGGAGGAACGTATCGCCTCCATCTTCAGAAGTGGTCGGTTCTCATGGTCTCTTCGCTTTGCAGATTTCTTATATCTTTTCTTCTACCCTGAAGATGGAGGCGATACGTTCCTCCGAAACGTCGGTTAACACCATATATACACGGTGCCAAATCCCAGAAGACTGCTTTCTTTATGGTTGACTTTACTAATTATTTCATAACATAGCTAGTCTTTGCTGGTAGTATAATTTTCCATGCTTGATAATTGAACTTAATATAATTCAGGTTCTACTTCCCTTGCCTTGTTACAGTTGGCTTACATTATTTCACAGTGCAGAAGTTCAATTTCATGATTTTTTTTATTCCTTGATTAATAAGTTCAGGCTCCAAGGGTGAAATTTCTTCACATTAATTGTATAAGCTGTCAGATAATGCACTGTGAGGGACTGTAAAAATTGCCACTGACTTGAAGGAACTTGCTGCGGATGCAGAAAGTTCCTCTTGAATGCTGGTAATTTTTACGACATGATGTGATGCAGTACCTAGAAGAATTGCAGTGAATAAAAACTAACATGAAATCCTTAACTGTTTAAGTTTTTCAATTTATATATTTTTAATAAACACAATCACATGTAGTCCACAGAAATAGTATAATTATCGTAATCATTTTTCTCAGAAGATTTCAAATTTGAATGAATTTTACAAATTTTTTAATAGTGACATTTTAATTTCTTATTAACTATGCCATTGCTACAGCAAGCATTTATGACGTTTTTTCTTATTTCATAACAAGAAAATACAAATTGTATATAGTCTTCACAGTTTCTCCAAATAACCACGGTAGTGACGTGATGTTTATGCTAAATTGAGGCATACGTCTTTACTGAAGAGAACTTAGAGAAGGTGCCTATATGTGTACAGAATTTGGCCATTTTTATTTTCAGGTAAGACTGTGTGCATACTAATTTTGTCCAAAATATGAGAGTCTTCTTGTTGAGTAAGTTGTGAAAACTTGAGTGAGATTAGACTGACCACTTCTTAACTTGACTGTCACACCTACTTTTATTCTGTATTTTATATGCATAGGTTTATTTTAATGTCGGATTGAGGTTTTCCAATTGCAACACTGTGCAGTCTTGTGGGTGATAACTGACATTTTGGAGGAGAGTGATTATGCCATCTTCAGGGTATGTGCCACTTGACATTGTGAAGGTGAAGATTGCAGGTTCCTCTCAAACACTGGTAAGCGCCCACAAGACCACACGGTGTCACAGCCCAGGATATCAAAATTTGAGTCTTTCCTGCTGTGAAAACGTCAGATATTGCCCTTTAGTCAGTCAGATCATGTAGATTACTGTCTTCTGAGATGTGAGGCTGTATACTTTGGTAGATAGGTACCACTATTTCAAGGTAGTAAAAGATGAGGTAGAAGGTTCTTCTAAAACATTTATGTCTATCTACAAAACTGTACAGTGTCACATTCCAGAGACAGTAATGTCCCTATTCACCAGTGTGAGAAACTCAGTCTTAAGTGGCCTCCGTAGTCTAGAGGTAAAGTTCCCACCTCATGACTCATAGTACACGGGTTCAAATACCCGGCGGAGGTCGTCAAATTTTTAAAGGCGGAAAAATTCAGGGAACAAGTCCTCCGGGAGGGACTTTAAGCTGTGGGTCCCGTGTCGTAGCTTTACGGCACATAAAAGAACCTCATATCTCCAAAGGAGGTCACTGAGCCAAATTACGGACGTTTCCCGCCCAACAGCAGTCTCTAATACCTCTGGTAGATGGGGGAAGCATTATAGATACCTCTCAGCCAGTAGAGCCGGTCTCGCTGGCTGGGCGGGACTGATGGTAAGTACCAATACCGATAGGATATAGAGACTGATAGAAATCATAGAGGGAAGCACAATGGACCAATACAGGTCTAAGTGCATGGGGAAACCCACCCTCTCCAAATAACTAACTAACTAACTCAGTCTTAAGACGCATCATATGTTTATGACAGTGATATGTGAGTGAAGGCAGCAAGTGTGATGAGCAGACATCTCATTCATATTTAATATTTGGAGACATGTGATGTAGTTTATCTGTGATGACGTCAGTAAACTTATTCTCTGTTTTATTCACATATTGTGGTAGGAATGGTATCAGTTCTATTGGATGAGGTCATACACTTGATCCGATCTCTGACTCGGTACTTGGCTGGTTATGGACTAAGAACTTTAAAAATTTGCTGTGATATATATTTTTCTTGCAGAGAAGTCCAATGCGGTTGTATATGCTGTTGTTGGATCTGTTATTGTAAGCACCCTTGGGATTATATCTCTTGTCACAGGTGCTGTCATTATCAAGAGAAAGAAGGAAACAGAAAAGATGAGGATGCAGCAGGTATACCAGTCTTGTTATTTTTTTGGTACTGTAAAGCTGCATATATTTAGATGGTACATGTTAGGATGCAGAATGATGCAAGCATTGCAGTAAATGGTATCACATGATGAGAGTCAGGTTGATAGAAGTGACCCCTGATACAAATGGGAATGATTTTAAATTCTGTCTATTGGTAGACACAAAAATACTGGATACTTGGGCCTCCACAGCGAAGTTTGATAAACTGGAATGAGCATTCAGGAAGACTCTTGATCTCACAGTAGACAAAAAATCGCATTGTACTTTATGATGTTTTAGCGATGGGAGCTAAAAAGTAACTGAATGAGAAGTGATGCTTTCAGAGTTAATATAAAAGTGAGAATGTCATGTGAAGGCTGTTGTACCTATGGTAAGATAAAGTAATCATCACTCATTTGCATATGTGGGAGTATGAGATTTACTTATGGAAATTGTATATTTTTGGGCTAAGGTGTGCCATAAACTGAAAAAAGGGGGTTACTCAGACCACTACTGGGTCCATGACCTGTAAGAATACCATGTTGTCTGTATGTATGTGTGTTCTTGGTATGAACTTTATAACTTTGGGGGTCACCCGTTGAATAGGAGGCTGGGTGGGTCTCAGAGCTGATCTGGAAGTGGAAGTGAATAGGAAAATCTCTGATAGGAATGAAACCCTGCCATAGCCTAGTTACTATACTGACTGAACTGTCCCAGATCCCTCATGTACTAGGGGCACGTGATCGTGTAGTTGGTTGAGGCACTATGCTACAAGCTGGAAGGTTGTGTGGGGATGGGGGTTGAGTCCCGATGAGGTGTATTTTGTCAATTGACCTAATCCTTCCAGCTGCACTATGGCCCTGGAGTCGATTCAGGCTCTAACAGAAATGAGTACCAGGAATCTTCTTAGGGGGGTACAGGGCGGTCAGCGCGTAAGGCTGACATCCTTATTGCCGTCTGTGAGCTGACTGTCTAGAGAAAATGTGAGCGCCTTGACATCCCAGAACCGTATGGGCCTTCATGGCCTGTTACAAGGATAGCATTTACCTTTTTATTTTTACCTCCTATACTGAACTAAATGACATTGCACTGTCTAGAAATAATATTTGGTTAAGGGGAGGGCTTACACTGTCTGCAAGTGGTAAATGGTTCAGAGAAGCTGTTTGAGCTTTCATTATGCAAATGAGTCTCACCACGCATAATCACATTTTGTGTGGAGATAATGCACTGTGTGGTTCACTGGCAAATTTATATTCATGAGAGATTTTAAAAGGTTTTCGAAGTGCTTTTTATACTGTTTTGCAAGAAAGAGTGATTTTAATGAAGTTGCAAATTATATGTGCAAGGTATAAAGCCGAAGTAGCAAAAACAAGAAAACAGACCGTGCTGTGTAAATATGTTTAAATTGATGAAATAGGGCACACAGTGACCACATTGAATCTACATGGAACAAATGATTATTTTTAAGAAAGCTGAATATGTCATCATGTGAGATGATGATGTTCAAATTGAGCTAACAGATGAAGAATTTTTTGTATTTCATTCTTCAGCCGATTGTAGAGTTGGCTGCATAGACACTCAAATGGTGCCCACACAGGGGAGTTCGTCTGCCTTTCCAGCCTTATATTCCCAGTTCATAGAGGAAAATGCTGCCTTGTGAACAGATTTTGTTACACAAGGAAAGTGATATAATTAGAGATTTCATCCATAGTTGAATGGTGTTTTCAGTAAAACTTGACATTACAGTAGCTGCTGAAAATTATATCTAACAAAATTAAAACATATTAAAAAAAAAGTAAAGCTATTCCTGTAACAGGTCATGAAGGCCTGCAAAAAAAAAAAAAAACAAAATTCGGTGGCACACGCTGAAGTACACTTTCTGTGATTTCTAGCACATCATTCTAGATTTCACTCTGAAAAGCTTGACATGTATGCATGCATATTTCTGTAGGCCTTTTGTTTCAAGTTTCCCAGGAAGGAAAGCACACACATTCAGATCCAGGGAATGTGATAACTATAGTCCACTCCTTGTATTCACTTATAAAAGTAGTCCATAGGACTAACCATGAATTTCCACTATGTGGTTGTGCAGTTTGATGGCTTAATTAGTGCAGCAACTAGGCTGCAGGCTGGACAACCAAGAAATCAGGGTTCGATGCTAGATGGCATGGGATTTTTCTCTTCCCCACAGTATCAAGACTGGCCTTGGGGCCCATCCTTTCACTTATCTGATGAGTACGGTGAGCTCTGTCTGTGGAAATAAACGGGCAGGGGCATAAGACTGTAAAGTCAACTCCACCTAGCGCCCTGGCTAAGAATGCATGGATGTGGCTTGGTCTGCAGCTTATTTTGCAATGGGGTTGTTAAGTAGACTGTGTCATGTTGGATGGTAGGTTGTTAGATGGATGATAAATTGGAAAGGATTTGGAAGGCCAGTGGTCATTCCTAAATTAAGGTACTATCCTGGAATTTGACTGGCAGGACTGAGGAAAACCATGACAAACCTTAATCAGTACATCTGGTGCCCTGGTTGTCATTTAAGTCAACCACCTCCAAAATATGAATCACGAGCGTTATTTCTATGCCAACTTGTTTGGTGCTGTACATCCATCCCTCCCCCATATATCTTCATGGATTGGTGCTTAATTAAGGACAGGGAAAACTTCTTCTCATGAGCTGATTCATTGTCCTGCACAACTCTTAATTCTCAAGAAAAAACAAAGAATTTTCTCAGCTGTGTAGCCAATACTGGAACTCTGCAAGAATTGACAGAAATGAACCATTCTTTAATCAGAGCGGCATCTTGTGTCAATTTTTGTAATGCATTACTTTCTGCTGCACTGACTGCTTGAATGAAATTTTTAGCAAATTGTTAAATGAACTGTTCTGTGTGTTCTGTACTCTTGAAACATACTATTCATCATTGGAGCCTGCTGTTTGGGTGTGTTTGTCTTAGTCTGAGGTGGGGTGTTCTTTCTTGTGTTGTCCAGTATTCAGTCCTTGCAGAGACATATTTTTTGTACCACATCCTGTTTGTCTCTGGGGTGCACCCAACCTCCTATCCATGAATATGAGGGATCTTTCCCTGAGGATAGAGCAGCCAGAACAAGAAACTGACTACTTACATATACAATGTGATCATGCCATACTCTGCTGCCCGTTTCCTAGCAGACTAGGTGGAGGAATCTGATGTTCCTCCCACATTGCCCTACCACTGATGCTCACACTGCCAGCAGAATCAACAAGGCTGTAGGCTCAAAATCACAAAATTCACCCATCTGATAGCAAATGCCAGAAATACTCCATGTGGTTATGCGTGCATTTCCAGCACTTCTGTGAAAAGCTCATATTCTTGCATTTAAACTGAAGGAACTGAGTTGATTGCATTGCAGAATGTATAGCGCTTTACATCCATTCCATGCATCCTTCCACTTGGGCACAGTGGAAACTGCTGATCCCCAAACCACAGATGTCAGAGTAGCAGATGAATACTTCTATAAAGATTGTCAAAAGGCAGAAACATTGTATGTTATGTGGCAATTAATTACTTTTTAAGATTCCAGCTGTGAAAGATGGCATACCATCATACCGTCAGTTTCAATTTGAGCAATCCATTGAAGGGACAGAAGCCTCACTTGCTCGATACCGCAGTAATTACCCTACCATGGGCACAGCAGGCACTCTCGTGTTGGGTGTGAACACTGGAGCCATACCAGGAGGCAGGTAGATATCTGTGTCACTGAAGGGTGCATTATGTACAGTAGTTCCTTACTCTTAGTCCAGTCTTCTTCATTAAAAACATTCGTGTTATTTTTATGAATACCTTGCATAAAACAATTTTGTAGATGGTCTGGAGGTAATTTTACAATTTAAACAGCACTCCTTCAGAATATACAAGGGGGACAAATTCTGAAACAGCTGCCATTATGTAATATATGGGAGATAAAAGATGGAAGTGTAATTTGTATTGACAAAGTGCTGGAATGGTGTAAAATATTTAATTTCTGGTACCGTGCAATGGAGGAGAAAAGATTCCGATTTAAAACGATCAGTTACACCAAAATTGTGGGTGTCATGAGCTTACTTTTCAAACCATTGTTAATTTGAAATGGGACTCGCCCACTGGTAACATGCAGTGATATGTCAAGTGTGCAGTTTTTCATGAAGAAAGAAAGAACTACTACGACACGTATGTAGTACATACGACACAGCACGCATGTAAACTACACAACTAACAATAAGAACATACAACCAAGAGAAATAATCAACATCTTCTACCATCCGGAAGAAAAAACAACATGACCCAATGCTGGTTCACGATTTTTAACATAATAACTAATTTTTTACATACAAAAGATTTTTAATACAATTTTAAATACATCGGGAAGCTATTTTGTGGAAAAGTGAACATCATATTGTGTGCAGTGGGAAACCCCAATCGAATACCCAGCAAATACGCTTAAATGAAACATCATACGTAAATCTACACGTCAACATGGCTGCATAGGGCAAACTGTGATATAGTGAGCACTATTCATAACCTAAGTGCATAATGTTAAAACATCTTATGTGACAGTATTTCCTACTCATAGTGGTGTGCCTCTGAAAATGATTCTTTTGAATCGAAACATGTAAGGCGAATAAAGACTGAAGTGTTGTAAACCTGTATGTCATACTGGGCTGAAAGTTATCTACTTTGTTCTTCTCTATACACTACATGTTTCGGCCCCAAACGGCCATCATCAGGTGTATACACTCACATATCTGTTATACTGCACTTATTTATAACATTTAAAATTTAAAAACATAGGTCTTCCTGATTAGCACTTATAAAATCTTCGGTTCTGATATTTAAATCCTTTAAAACATTTTTTTTTTCTCTCTAAGACATCAGACAGCACACGTAGTAAAGATAGCAGCAGCACGCACACAAGGAGACTACACAGAATAACACCTATACAGTACTAGATACAAGAAGAAGCCGGTGCAGCACTATAGACATAGGGTGAGTAACCCTGACATTTGCGGCCTCCGTAGTCTAGAGGTAACATTCCAAACTCATGACTCGTAGTACGCGGGTTCAAATACCCAGCGGAGGTCGTCGAATTTTTAAGGGCAGAAAAATTCAGGGAACAAGTCCTCNCGGTAGGATAGAGAGACTGGTAGAAATCATAGAGGGAAGCACAATGGACCAATACAGGTCTAAGTGCCTGGGGAAACCCATCCTCTCCAATAACTAACTAACTAACCCTGACATTTTTAAATTTTAAAACTTAGAGAAGAAAAAAAATTTTTTTTAAAGGATTTAAATTTCAGAACCAAAGATTTTATAAGTACTAATCAGGAAGACCTATGTTTTGAAATTTTAAATGATATAAATAAGTGCAGTGTAACAGATACGTGAGTGTATACACCTGATGATGGCCGTTTGGGGCCGAAACATGTAGTGTATGAAGAAGAACAAAACGAAAGACCTATAAATATAGTTTGCACTTAGGACGGAGTTGTGTCATATATGCTTTGTTTAATTTGGAAGCCAACATATCGGTGTGACTCTTCCAAGACATAGTATTGTGAAGTACTAGCTGAAGAAACTTTAATTCAGTAGTACTGGCAATAATTTTGTTGTTATATTTAATTTGTATTTCAGAATTAATAATATCTTTAGAGTGGAATCCCATACAATAGGTTTTGTCCAGATTTAATGAGAATAAATTTTCCTTAAACCATTTCATCACACTAGTGAAGACTGACTTCAAGTTATTTCCTAGTACAGTATTGTTTTGATTACTGACGATTACGCTAGTATCATCCACAAATAAAATTGTTTGGGAGTTTACACTGATGTTCAGATATTTTATAGATACAAGTAGGTCATTGATATATAGTAGGAAAAGTAATGGTCCCAGGATAGATCCCTGGGGAACACCATATTTGACCTGACCCCAATCTGATTCACTCTTATCAAATGGTCCATTTTTAATTACCACCCTTTGATACTGGTTTTGGAGATACAGTTTGAATAACATATATATGTTGTCAGTTATACCATAAAATTCTAGTTTATACAAAAGTATTTCGTGATTTACGCAATCAAAGGCTTTCTCCAGATTCAAGAAGATTCCACTTTTTTTTTTTTTTTGTTTGTTAATAGCTGCTAAAACTGTATTTATTATGTTATATGAAGCTGTTTCAGTGGATAATTTTGGACGAAACCCAAATTGTTCATTGGCTAGAATGTTATAAGTGTGAACGTGTGTCAATAATCTTCTAAATATTATTTTTTCAAACACCTTGGAAAATGAAGTTAACAATGAAATTGGTCTATAATTTGCACAGTTCTTCTTATCACCTTTCATGTATTTAGGAGTTACAATCGAGTATTTCATACATAAGGGGAATTTACCAGCTTTATTGAATATATAGCGTAAAGGGGAAGAAATGTATGGGGCACTAATTTTGAGTGTCTTCATCGAAATCTCATCAGATCCAGAAGAATTGTTTGAATACAAAGAAGAGATAACTTTTTCAATTTCTTTAGTTGTTATTTTATTGAATGTTATATTGGGAAAGGGGCCCTTAGCTGTCAAGTTCAGACAATGTTTATAATTATTGTTATTATCAGTATTTAAAGTAATTTGAGTAGAATATTTTTTAGTAATATTATCAGCAATATTTAAAAAATTATTATTAAAAATACTTGGATTTATTTTCTCAGTTTTACAGTTTTTGTCCTTCTGGCAGTTGTTACCTAACTCCTCTTTAATAATATACCAAGTAGTTTTAATAGCATTATTGGAGTTGGTAATTTTATCATTATAGCTGAGTCTTTTTGCCTCGTTAATCACCTTAGTCAGGATGTTACTATATGATTTATAATATTGCTTTAGATTGTTGTTATCAAGTATCTTTGTCAAAAGGTACAGTTCTTTTTTCCTTTTGCAAGAAGTTTTAATTCTGATGGTTAACCATTGTTTAGGGGAAGATTGCTCATATATTTTCTTTTTCAGAAAGCAAGCATAAAATATTTACAGATATGTATTTGTGAAGGTATTAAACATGTTGTCTATATTGTTATCCTCTGTATTAAACACATTTCCCCATATCTCATAACTTAATCTAAATTTAAATTCATCTAGTGAGAATTTATTAAATATCTGTATAGTTTTATGGTTTGGGTTAGCACTTCCATAATAGAACTCTTGTTGATATAAGGAATCATCATGGTCAGATAAACCATTAAATACCGAAAAAAATATATAATTTTCAAATTTAGTTACATCTATAAAGATATTGTCTATTAATGTTTGAGTTGTAGTGCTAATCCTAGTTGGGAAATGAACCACACTATATAAATTGAAAGACTGCAGCATATAGTTCAATTGTTGCTTCTAATATTGTCTGCACGATAATTTATATTAAAATCACTGCATACTAGCATCTGTAAGTTTGGTTTATAATTTTTTTTTGATAACAGTTACTAATTGGGTAATAAATAAAGGAAAATTTAAGTGGTTATCAATTTGTAAGCCAAGGAATTTTGTGTGTACTGACTCTTCTATATATTTATTATTATATCCAATGCTTAATGAATATTCAGGTGTATTATTTGTTATAATTTTTTTAATATTATTATGTCATATAGGTATGAACTTCGGGTAACTGATAGTAAATACATGCATCCAGACATCAGCTGCAATGCATCCCAGGCAAGTGAGAAGCAAAAGAAGAAGAAGAAGAAGAAGAAACAGCAACAAGGGGCAAAACAAGCAGGGAGCCAAAATGACCCACTGAACCAAGAGGGAATACCACCTGGTGACCAGGATTCAGGAATTGTTGATGGCTGCACAAATGTTTCTGAAGACAGGAATATGAGAAAAAGGAATTGGGACAAAAAGGTAACTTCACTTGTGCTTACTTGAATTGATAACAGTAATACAAGTACTGTCAAAAGTACAATGTTCCCACATCATAACATCCATAAATTTACTTGGACATCTCCTGATGGGAAGATACACAATCAAATAGATTGGAGAAAACTGCATAATGAGGAGCTTCGTAACGTGTACTCTTCTCCAAGTATAATTAGAATGATCAAGTCAAGGATGATGAGGTGGGCAGGTCATGTAGCACGAATGGGGGAGACGAGGAATGTGTATAGGATATTGGTGGGAAAGCCAGAAGGAAAGAGACCACAGGGAAGACCAAGGCGTAGGTGGGTGGACAATATTAGAATGGATCTTGGAGAGATAGGATGGGATGGTATGGATTGGATAGATCTGGCTCAGGATAGGGACCAATGGAGGGCTCTTGTGAACACGGTGATGAACCTTCAGGTTCCATAAAATGCTGGGAAATTCTTGAGTAGCTGCAGAATTGGCAGCTCCTCAATAAGGTCTCAGCTCCATGAGTAAGTAAGTAAGTAAGTAAGTAAATAAATACAAGTACAAGTTTTTAGTGTAAAGAACAGTAAAAGAATTTGTAGTTATGACACAAGATGACTCAATTGGTGCAGAGACTAGGCTATGGGTTGGTTGACTGATGAACTGGTGTTCAATTCCCAGTATGATCAACAGATTTCTTTTTCTTCTCCACAGCATCCAGAACTGCTCTGTAGCCCACACAGCCAAATACACAGTGAATAATGGAGGCTTCTTTTGGAATTAAAGTGGACAGGATGTCATGCACTTACCTCTATTCAGTGCTTAGGTCAATGCATGGAGCTACCCTTTGCTTTCTTGATTATCTTCATAGTATGCTGCTTAATGAAGTGCAAGGAGCATATTTGCTTGTGTTCTTCCTGAATTGTGTCTTTGGTCTCTTGACTGCCTCAGACTTTTTCAAATATGCCATTCCATATGAAGTGGTCATAATTTTTAAAATGCTTTATGTGTCTATATGCCTCATATACCTTTGTTTCTCAATAACTTTATGTGAGCCTTTCAACTTGATCTATATTTTCGTTTATGCATACTGCTATATTCTTTTTATTTTCACTCAACTTTCCCCTTCCTTTCCTCTCCTGCCCCTTTAGCTGTGTTCCATTTTGTATTAGAGTTCAGTCATTGAAGTTTCAGCTTCAGGACAGAGAAGATGAGCCATTCTATGGGCACTAGAAGGAGGTCTCCTCATTAAAGCCTCCTTGCACATTCAAGATTCAGGTTTGATCTTATAGCATTTTGTTTGTTGAAAAATTAACTTTGTACTATTTATGGTCGATGGGTTGTATAATTGCTGCTGGTCCGGTCAGCACAGCCATTCTTGGTTCAAAATGCTTTGAGATTCGTGGCCACATTTTACTGTGTCACGACTCTGGGAGTTGTGCAGCACTCCCACTCTTGTTCATATATGGTTCTTATTTAGTTCCCGTTTTGGGGATTAGTGTTTGATTTCTGACAGGCTAGAGCTTGAGAGCCTTCTAAAGCTTGTGTTAATTCTGAGTATGTTACTTCAAAATGATTCTATAACTTCCTAACTGCATTGCATTTTTTTGTGTCAAAGCATTTGCTTGACATTATATGCTTTCATCTGTTTCCTAGATATTATCAATAAATTCATAACGAGAAAGATTTTCAGTGATCTATGCAGAGTACATTTTCTTAGCCCATGCAAGGTCATTCTGGTGTCTGTACACAATAACTTTTTCTATTTACTTTGTTGATAACATTATTTCTTGAAGGAATGTAATGACTATATATCGAGTGTTCTAGCCTAGATAAAACAGCAAGAAATCTGAAACTTACAAACCTGGTGCTTGGTCACAGTGAGCATGTTTCTGTTTTTGTAATGATGAGGTTATATTTGTAAATCTTCAGGTATCACACATGGACATTTGTACAAATTTAACAATGTTTGGTTAGTTTTTATTTTTAAGGGAAATATAATAGATGTCTATAGTTCCAAGAATTTTTTGTTTTAAAAATTCTTAAATTGCTACCGTAAATTTTTAGATGGAAATCCCTTAGATTTTTGCACCAACATACATAAAAAAAGAGCTTATTAAATACAACTATGTTGAATCCATGAAGGATATTTTATAAACAGTTACAAAAGCAATTATTGTACTTTTAGAGGGAACACCTGTTTTCCTTGTTACTATTTTTTTTTTTGCAGATTTCAAATGGCTCAACAATGGAATTTGATATTTTACCAGGGACACCAAATGAAGATTCCTAAAGAAATGTCATTTGTGTAATAAAATGGGGCAGTAATCTTCTATTCTCAGGTACTTTCATATACTACAAAACCTTGCAGATGCTCTTTGTAATTATAATAAAGCAAAACATGTTTAAAATGGAACCTGAATTTAAAAAATCTACCTTTATAGGAAAACTTATATTGCTGACTATACAGTGTAATCAATGAACAATTATCTGTAAAAAACAGAAACTCCTTGATATAGAAACAGGACAAAAATATGAATTTAACTAAGATAAGACTTTAAGTAGAATAACATACTTCAATATGTATTGTTTTATGTTCATATAAAATTGAAAATATTGTAACGTGTTTTGCTACTGAAGGCGCCGTTCGGATTGTTAATTGGTTTATTTTACAACGTACAAGTCTTGGCTACAATTAATTATAACACTGTTACAGGTTTACACAATTTACAAACCCTATGCACTAATCTATTCACTCTGTCTTCAGTAGTCTTCACATTCACAGTACAATACAGGAGCTATACCAGTGTCACTGTATTACACACTCCCAATACCTCCTCGCACTATCACTTCTAATCTCATGTTCCGGTATTCTTCTTTCCCTGTTCACGATTCGCTCGCTACAACTGAACTCGGCGACTGTTCCAATTCATCTGACTCCTTAGGCAGTGCAGTTCTCTTATAAACCCCCAGCCAGACAACGGAAAGCTCCTCGCATCCCTGTTGCCATGTCGCTTGCTTACAGGTGTTGCTGGGCAACGCTGTCTAGAGTTGTTTCCTGCTGTGCAGTAACCGTGGCATCCTCCGCCACATCGATGCGGCAATGGTTGCCTGACACCCGCTCCTCTGCTACCTCACTGCAGGGAGGGGGGGCGGAGTGTTGACTCTCCTGTTACCGTTGTAGCGACAGCGCTCCGATGCCGCCACGTCACCGCTGGCAGGGGAGGGCATGTCCTCCATAGCGCAATGCGTCACAATATTGTCACGCATATGGGGTTACATGTTATAGAAATAATGGGTTCTAGGTTGGATGATTGAATTTATTAGCACTTCAGCTACAAGTTCTCTTAATCACACTTATTACCGTGCTATCGCTGATTTACACACTTTCTAGTCCACTGTTGCACATGCACTAGGATTCCCAGTCTTCACTTGTCGTCTCCTGGCAATGGATCCAACACAGAACCTAGCACTTCAAATCACTATGAAGTCTTTTTGTGATCTCGTTTTCAATCACCCTAGAAAATCGGAACTCAATTAAAACTCCGCCTATTACTCACTCCTCCAGCTTACTGCTCATTCCTCCAGCTTACAACTGCCTGCAGACAACCTTCATTGTCCTTTATAAACCTTCAGTGTGGACGTACAGAAAACATGTCACTTGGTTGCTATCCACCGTTTTGTGATGTCACCGCCTACATGGAAGTGTATTTACCGAGCTGTTGCCTAGATATGGGTTGCATAATCCTGTCTTTCTATTGTTGCGAGCGTGTGTTACTTAGCAGTGGCTGTTCCTATGGCTCAACAGTTCTTGCATGGCGTGAATATGCCACATTGCTCCCTCCTTAAGGCTTGTCCTGAATGGCTTACAGGCATACCTCCTGTTCTTCTTTTCTGAGGGTTCCTGCTTGTGGCATCATCTTGTGATTCGGTTTTTCCTCTGCAGTGATTGCTCTACATCCACGACCACTGCTTCCTCCTTAAGGTCAGCTTGTTCTGAGTGGCTCACTGCTAAGGTGCCAGTAGTTCCAGGTGTATCAATGTCATCCGAAGGTTTCTTCTTTTTCCTCTCCTTCCCACAGTGCGCCATAACTCCAGGAGTGGCTGGTGCTCCCACATATCTGGATCTTCTTACGCTAATGCTGCTATTAGGTTTTCCTTCCCTTATGGAGGGGGGCCTACCCCTCTGCAATATCTAGTCCATGATTTTCCTCTCTGGAGGCAGCTGACCCCTCCACAATGTCCAGTTTCTCATTTTCCGCAACCCGCTGGACATCCCGATTGCTCGCTTCATGAACTCCAGTCTGAAAGCCTTCCTGTCGAACTCCTCTGATGCCCACTCAATCTGAAGATGCAGCTGCCATCTTATGCCTGGGTTTTTTATTTGTTTGCTGCCTCATAGCTGCTGTCTTAGGCCTTGGTCCCATATGACATTGCTGGATTCTGGGCCCTTCCAACATCTCTTCCTTTCCGGGTTTCTTGTACCACATTGTCCTGGTTGTATCTCTTGCAATCATGTTCCCTGCATTGTGCCGCTTTTGTACTGTGGGTCATCCTCCTATCGGCTGTGGCCAATTCCTTCTGTGGGCTACAGTTTCCTTGGTTCTGAATTTTCCTGAAGACATTTCTCTTGCACCATGCCACTGCTGCATGATGGGACATCTTCCTGCAGGTGGCAGCCAACTTCCTCTGGGATCCATGATCTCCTCCAGTCAGTTCCTTTGACTGTCTGTGTCGCCCTACAGCTAGATGCCGATCCATGTGCCCCTTCTTCCGTGCCTTGACCTGTTTCACTAAGACACCTTCCTTAGGGACCCCTGATTTTCCGACTCATTCCATTTCCTCTGGATTTGCCTACAAATCCATAGTTTCCATCTCTTCTTGATTAGCTTTCATCATAGCTATCATCTGCTCCAAGATGGCTGTTGCATGATCAATTGGCTCCATCTTCTCTGGATTGGCCTCTTGTCACTTCTTGACAGGCCATCCTCTCTTTTTGGCATGGTGTTGGAGTGAATTGCGACCTTTTCATTGGGATTCTCCTGCCTCTCTGCTACTGCCTTCTTTTCTCCTGGATTTGGCTCCATCTTCTCTTGGATGACGTCCATCTTGGTTTCTATCCATTCTTGACTGATTATCATCATTTCTTGCATGTGCTCTTGAATGGTATCTGCTTTTGCTAGGATGTCTTTCCTCCTCATATGGCTCGGCTTCTCTTGATGTTCAGTTTCAGGTTCCAGTCTCATCTGATTGGCATTTGTCTTATCATGAATGGCTTCCAGCCTTTCTGCCGTTTCTTCTCAGTTGGCTTTCCATTTAGCCTTCCATTTTTCTCCGCTGCCTTTCCACTTAGACATTCTCTTCTAAAAGTCAGCTTTTTTTCGGTCAGCTTCCCACATAGCCACCATCTGTTTGTAGGCTTTCCTTTCAGGCTCCCTTTGCTCCATCATTTCATTAAATGCTTTCATGTCTGCCCTTCTTTATTCTCGGTTAACGTTTCTGTTTTCATTGTTGGCATCTAAATTGTCTTGCCTGGCTTTTATGTCCTCTTCCATTTCGGCCTGCAGGAGTTCCACAGTGGTTCCACCCATGGATAGTTCGCGTTCATAGCCAGCATTTCCCTTATTTGTACCATTTTCATGGTATGACACCCAATTCAATCTTCGATCCAATGCAGTATAACTTCTGAAGTTTCCAGTTGTCAAAAGTTTATGGCTGCATGACTACAGACACCAAATTATCACATATTTACAATGTAGCCACTGCTGAAGAACCCAGTATGATCTGAACCGCCAACTTCTAACACCAAAATGTGTACGCATGACAGAAATAACAGGTTCTAGATCGGATGATTGAATTTATTAGCACTTCGGTTATAAGTCTCTTAATCACACTTATTACAGCGCTGTCACTGATTTACATATTTTCCAGTCCACCATTGCACACACACTAGGAGTCTCAATCGTCACGAGTTGTCTCCTGGCAATGGATCCCAACACAGAGACTAGCACTTCAAATCACTATGAAGTCTTCTTGTGATCTCGTTTTCAATCACCCTGGAACCTCGGAACTCGATTAAAACTCCATCTATTATTCACTCCTCCAGTTTAGGACTGCCTGCAAATGACCCTTGTTGTCCTCTATAAACCTTTGGTGTGTACCTACAGAAACTGTTACGTGGTGTCTGTCCACTGTTGTGTGATGTCATCGCCCAAGGCAAGTGTATTTTCCGAGCCGTTGCCTAGAAATGGGTTACATAACCCTGTTCTATTGTTGTGAGTGTGTATTACTTAGTAGTGGCTGTTTCTGTGGCTCAACGGTTCTTGCATGGAGTAAATATGCAACAATATGTGCTATTCCATATCAGTGTAGCATAGCATGTATTGTCATATGGATCATAGGCATATGTGCAATTTTTATTTTTTATTTCTTTATTTTATCTATTTATTTAACTGTTTACTTATTTGTAAAGTGCATGTGTTACACAGGAACCTGTTCAGGTATTTTGGGATTCTGTTATAATTAAAATTTTTTCTACTTATGGGTTCATGATGTAAATAATAGGAAGGTATGATCCCATAGAAAATTATCTATAGAGTGAGTGGTCTGTACTATGAAAGGTCCATAGTAAATAAAAAAATGAAACACAATACTGATATCCTTTGGATATGTGGTACTGCTTCTTTAATGTCTGCATATTTAAATATTCCAGATCAGATTTGTTTTATTTAAATTTAAAAATTGTCATCTTCAGTTCAACGTTGAACTGCAGTATGACCAAATTGTGGACTGTTTGACAAAGAACCAATTTTTCCACCATTTACTTGAATACATGATAGGTTTGATTTGAAATATTTTGACATTTTTTTATTTACTTATTTATGTTATTAATATATAACTGTTCAACCAAGTTTTACATTTGTTCATAATTTAATTTTCCAGAAAGTCAGTCTGAGTCTGGCAGAGAAAGTGAAAGGACTTAGTAGCTATGGAACATTCTAGTTTTAACACTAATCACTCCGTAAGACATCTTATGGAATGTTCACATTTCTAGTTAAGTCTATCATATTTATAATTATGAATGAATCACTGCAACATATGAGAACTGATTTTTTTCTTGTCTTCTGTAAACTTGTTTCAGGAAGGCTGCTATAGCTCACTCAGTGTAGTGGATAGACTATGGATTTGGAGGCCAGAGAATCATATTCAGTTCCTGGTAGGAACAAGACATTTTTCTCTTGTGCACAGCATCAAGTCCAGCTGTGGCATCAACCTATGCACTGGGTTTTGGGAGCCCTCTTTCCTGGAGGAAAGCAGCCAGCACATGAAGCTGATTTCTCATCTCCATCCAGTGTCAAGGTTAAGAATACATGGAGCTATTCTCCAGCACCCCTGCGGCTGGTTTACTTGTGGCAACACACTAGCAGTTTTCAGTATTTCACCATAAAAAAATAATAGCAAATGTAAGAAATCTCAGAATATAACTACAAATACCATCTAATGGCAGATGAAGAAACTACTTGCTCAAAGTGCTTTCTGAAAGAAAAATTGTAGAACTTGTCAGAGCATTGTCCTAAAAGCAGGCTCCTCATGGTAGTTCAGACATGACACGCGTAAACAGTCAAGCTCACTTACGAGAGCAAAGTTGTTAGTTAAGCACAGGGACTTTACCATTACTTTTACCTTTTACATGTTCAGTAACAAAAAGTGCCGTCTTCAAGTGGGTAATATTTCTCTGCTTCAATCCATGAAGTGTGTTAACCATTCTGATATACAGTATTGTCTTCAGTTATTACACAGTTCTTTTAATAATATATATTTAATTCTCCATATGATATCACTGAAAATTGGAGTAAACTTTCATCTCTCCATGCTAACTTATAGTTTATATCTCAGTGAAACAGGTCCTCAATTCTATTCTGTTCTCCCATATTTTTTCTGCATAACTTGCTGTACTTTCAAAATAAAATTGTGCATATTCCATTCTTAAAGTCATATTGTTCCTGCTTCTGATTTTGTATCAGTATGCTTGCTTAGGTTTATTTGCTCTTATATTTTCAAGACATGACTCATCATCATCATCATCCCTTCATAATTTTTATGTAACATTTTTCTGTCTTTTCCATAAGTTGGGACAATAATTCCTTTCCTCCAGTCAACAGGAATTGTTTTTATCATTGTCTTGCTTTCATTATGTATATTAAAAATTGTCATATCCAGGTGCTTTTCAGTTCAGAGTTTTATTAAAGGTTTTTTTTTTGTCTCAGATGCAGATCCTTTCACTGCAATCTTCCATTCCGTAGGATGTGTACTTTGCATATTATTCCTGTATAAGTAAATATTCTGGAGATACAGTGGTAAAATTGTTGTAATAATTTGGCACGTTTTGTCATGGGTGCAAAGTTTGATTACGGGTATTCCAAAGAGTATTATCGCTGGTCTATGTTATAATGAGCTCCTTGTGGCTCTGATGAAACACATTCACAGCTCTAATTTTAGAACAACCCATCTGTAAATTCATAATACATATAATATATATGATATGATCTAATATAATATAAAACTGTACACATTTGAAATAGACAATGTTATGGTGTGACAATACAATACAACTTCAGTGTTCCCATCGTTGATCTGGTATGCTGTATACAATATGAAAAGCTTAAATGCTGATGTTGACATCTAAACACAACTTGAGATACTTGGATAATGTTTCAGATGCTAGTGTACACAGTTTACTCACCAATGCAGGGTCTGAGAGACATACTCACATTTTGGGAAACCCACCTGCTGTTTGAGATACTTGCATTCACTGAAACATCTACTAGTTTCACATGCTTATATACAATTGAGACACCAGCGTTTAGACTGAGACATCAATGTATGGCTTGAAATGCATACATATCATCTGAGTCATCTGTGTACAACTTCAGACATATGTTGTAACCGTACAATGCGAAGGACGACACTGTTTTGTTTCCATGTGTCCGTACTTGTCACTACATACAAGCAGATGTAATACCCCACACCCCACTCAAACCAGAGGGACCTGAACCCAATTGGCACGAAGGGAAGTCACGCCTCCCTCCTACCAGAGCAGACTTAAATGAAACCAGCTCAACGCTCTTCTTACTTTTACAAAGAGTCCTATGCTCTAATAAAAGAGAAATCTGTCCAAAAAGATGCTGGAGAGAACCTTTTGTCACTTAGAGAGATGGCCCTCTGACTGGTCATAACTCTCCAACTGTTAAAAACTTCTTTTAGAAAGGAGCTGCAAACTGTTTAAGTAGTCGAGGAAAGGGACCACTTTTCAACACCCGATTAGTCACGGAAGTCAAATGTTTTAGGAATCCAAATATTACCCGCTATCTTATAGTGGAGAAAGAAATTTATGACCTTCTGAATATTCTTTAGCGAATTCCTCTTCATTCAAGTTCCAAATATCATGCAATAACATTTTTCTCTGGAGCGTAACGAATGTGACAAACTTTCGCCGCGAAACAGCTGACCATTGGAGGAATGATAAACCCAATCGAAACCCTCCCCCCTATTCGCTAAATCCACCCAACCCGGGGATTTGGAGGATGGGAACGAGGCGTTCCCAAATTTTCACAGGACCTCTGAATCTTCAAAATCGGAGAGTTTTTCGAAGTCTGGACACAACAGTTAAACTCGTCGGATGCGGGGCTAGCCCTCTCGATCGACTGTTAAGTGGAATTAATGTCTGAGTATTTGAAAGTTAAATCAAAAATTTTATATTGAAAAAGAACGCGAGTGAGTTCGAACTGCTGACCCTCTCAGACCCCACACACGCAGTGGTAGCGGTAACCTATACAAGTCCCCAAGTGCTAGGTAATAGTGCTAACGGTGCATTGTGACAAGGCTTGCTGGAGTATGTAACAAAGTAACAACAACCCGCTCATTTTGTAGAATTCGAGCTCTCCCGTACCGAGAGTAGTAAAGTAACAATCTCAGTTGTACCCCAGCGACTCCCAGCTTACAACAACAATAAAGGAAGTGGTGCCAAGTGCTTGTGTTTCCAGTGTGTCTTTTCTGCCTGTCGGAGTAAGGCCTGAGAATGACCTCAGGCAGAGTCTCACTCCACCCACGACTAGCCCGATCACCGTCAGCTCCCCACCCCGTCCACCTTTTCCTTCACTTCGCATCTGTATCCACAGTTGCTGGCACCCACAGACGAGCTAGGTCAAGTCACGGACCTAATACCCCTTTCCCATAGTGAAGAGAAGTGGTGGAGTCGGAGAAGCGGTGGAGCCAGGTATAGCCTGTCCTAGCTGTGAGCCCAACGAACAACGACAGCAGCGACGACAACGGCAAGAGAAAGGAAGGACAGTAAAAGACTAGCGACCAACTTGTGGGTCTTGAAGCCTCACTGAGTGGGACAGTAAAAATGTGTATATAATCTTAGACTTAGAGATGAGATACCTAGATACAGTTTACTATAATTCCAGACTCCCACATGCAGTCAGACACCTACATACAGTTGAGGCAACTGCACGATTTCAAGATACCTACATGCCTATATATTATCTGAGGTTTTTACATATATTTTGAATCAGTTATATACAGTTTGGGATATCTACTTACTGCTCTATATACATCATATTTGTAATGCATACATATAGACTGAGACATGTTTTGAGACACCTGATAAGTATGAGATACCTACAACTGTGAGGCACCTGTGTAAGGTCTGAGATAGTGGTCTTCATTTTGAGTCATCTACATAGCCCGAGACACATGCAAGGTTTTTGATGTACCTACATACTGGTTCAGAATCCGGCATAATATTTGAAACAGCTACATAAAGCTTGAGGCATATGCATTCATCTTGGGGCATTTACATATAGTTTGAGGCAAATATTTATATTTTGAAGCACCTACATATATTTTGAAACACCTATGTACTCTTTGAGACATCTACATACCGTTTGAGACACCCATGTACTGTGTGAGTCACCTAAATAAAGTTTGAGGTACCTACACGCATTTATAGATTCATGCAGAGAGTTTGAGACACATGATTACATTTTGAGATCCATGATATGTATGTAATGGCCGTCTTATAATGCACTCAGTTTCATATGTCACTTCTTACTACATGTTTCGGCAACATAGTGCCATCTTCAGGTTCGCTATTTACGCCAAACTATTACATTGTTTGCCATCTTGCGTCTTTCATAAAATTATTTAGAAAGTACATTTTTTGTCAACTATAACAAAATTTATATTTACTAAAACTTGTAAAGATTATTCATCTATATGTCTTAATTCAAACTCGTGTATAGTATGGTTCGTCCACTATGGGAGTCGTTTCTGTCTGTACCTGCAATTTGAAAATGGTACTTATTATTATTATTATTATTATTACTTTCGACTTTTATGTGTTGTGTTATAATGTTTAGTACTTACTGTGTCTGTGATGTGTCCTTCCTTTTTGGCTGCGAGCGTTGTAATGTTGGATGTGTGTGTGTCTTCGTATTGACTGAGTTATGATGTGGGGGTAGGTGGTGGGGTTGTGTTATGTTCTGTGTAAATTGTGTGTAATTCATGAAATATTGGGTTATATATTTCNCAAACTATTACATTGTTTGCCATCTTGCGTCTTTCATAAAATTATTTAGAAAGTACATTTTTTGTCAACTATAATAACATTTGTATATACTAAAACTTGTAAAGATTATTCATCTATATGTCTTAATTCAAACTCGTGTATAGTATGGTTCGTCCACTATGGGAGTCGTTTCTGTCTGTACCTGCAATTTGAAAATGGTACTTATTATTATTATTATTATTATTACTTTCGACTTTTATGTGTTGTGTTATAATGTTTAGTACTTACTGTGTCTGTGATGTGTCCTTCCTTTTTGGCTGCGAGCGTTGTAATGTTGGATGTGTGTGTGTCTTCGTATTGACTGAGTTATGATGTGGGGGTAGGTGGTGGGGTTGTGTTATGTTCTGTGTAAATTGTGTGTAATTCATGAAATATTGGGTTATATATTTCCTTATTTACATTGTTCATATGCGTGTTTTTCTTTGTTGTTCTGTATATATGATAGTTTTCTAATGTGTTTAGATATTGTCCTTTCTTATTCGTTGCTATGATATCCATAGTATTTTCTATTGTACCATATGTACGATGTATGTCCTGTGTTTCATATGTGTCTTGAGTATCCTGTATTGCTGTTATTGTGTCTAATGTCATGTATGTGTTCTTTATATCTGGTATTAAATTTTCTCCCAGTTTATCCTATATATTCCATGGGCCAATCTATGCATTTCATTCTGTATATGCCACTTTTGTTATATTTACTCATTTGTGTCTTTGATTTTAAAATATGTTGTAAATTATTCTTAGTTCTAAATGCTATTTTTAATTTTGTGTCTCGAAATAGTTTTTTAATGTTTCTTGTTTCTTTTCCTATGTATGTGAATGTTGCCCATTTCGTTTTTTGTTCTTCTGAATTTGCTGTGATGTTCTGTTTTTTTGTGATGTTTTGGTTTCTTTTATTTGTAGTGAGTTTAGTAATTATATCTGTGTTGTACTTATTGTTTATGAGTATGTTATTTATAGTAGCTATCTCAGTATCTTTTGCTACTTTGGTAATGGGGTAATTATTTACTTGATCTATAAGGTATTTAATACTAGATATCTTGTGTTCTTGTGGATGACATGAGTCACTTCGTATTATTATGTCCGTTGCTGTGTGTTTGATGTGGATTGAAAATTATAAATTTTCTATTCCTCTATATATTCCTATATCTAGGAAATTTATAGATTTACGGTTCTCTTTCTCTGTTATGAAATTTATTGTTGGTTGTAGTTTATTAAATTCTATAATCATGTCGTCAATATTTGTTTTGTTTATATCATATAATATTTGAGATACATAAATTTTGAGACACCTGATATTATTTGAGTAACCTATATATATTCGGAAACACCTAGATATATTTTGAGACACCTACTTACTGTCAAGTGTCTGGGGTTCCGTGACAAATAATTGTGGATTCTTAGTTTTGATCATTGTGTTTCTTGGATGTTAGTATCACAATTTCACTCAATTATAACAGTTCACACATTTTCTCTGTTCTCTTGTACTTCACCTCTGAGCTCTGCCTTCAGTTCTTAACTCTGCTTATAACTCTTGGCTTCAGTTCTGACTTCAGAACTCTTCTCTCACTTCTGTACTTTGTCTGACTTCTGTCCTTCGTCTCTCTTCTGTGTGCAGTTCTATCCTCTTTCATAAATGCTTGGCTTACCGACTAGGGAACACCGAATCAAACAGTTAATTCCTCTGTTGTCATGAAAATGTCACCTCTGTTGTGCAGGAAACGTGACTACCAAGCCATTGTCTAGTAATGGATGCCTATTCTCGCCTGGATGTTCCAGCTTTTAGGCGGCGTGCCACTATACCGTTTAAGACACCTGCGTACTCTTTGAGACATCTGCATAATATTTGAGGTACCCACAATCTGTCTGAGATACCTTGAGGAACATACATAGTAGTTGAGTCCCGTCATAATGATGGCTGGAGTTGCAGCACTCTTAGCACTTCTCTGTTTGTCAAAGTGGTAACAACACAGGTCTCCAAGAAAATGCCATGATAATACCTGTATTACCATCTGACACTGTACGAGAATACTCCACATAAAGATAAAGTAGGTTTTAAGTCTATCTGGGGACAGTCCTGAGCATGGCTCACTATACCCCTCATTTAAAGGACGTGTGGCTTCCCCATGAGATCTGAAGTGGCTGAGGTCCATGCTGTCTTGTCTGTACATCCATTGGCCGTTGTCAGACTGGGTTAGCTGCCAGCAGTTGTAGAGCCACTTCACCAGGCGATCTGAGTGAGTGAGACGTGAGACGTACGCCTCAGCCCTGTCCAGGTTGACTTGTTTGAGTGCATGTAAGAAAACTGCTGCAGTTATGAAGTGGTGTTAGGGAATCCAGTCTGTATGCATGGACATTGCGACTCATTTAATAAGGTTGTGTACAGGGCTACACATATCTGCATGTCCTCTGCCATGCCAGTCTGTGGGTTAGCATACAACATGATGCAAGACAGTATCTTGATACACAGATTGTACAGTAACTGGATGTAATCTTATAAATAAAAACTATTTCATATTGTGCAAAAACCTGTGTTGTAATTTAACATAAAGAACACTGAGCTGTGAGTTAGGAAGCCATGTACAGGCAGTTAAAATATATCTGCTATCTGTAATTACTGGATTGTACATATCATCGACCATGTAAGTTATTTATCATTAATTGTTAGGTAATATTGAGCTATTTACAGTACTGTATGTTATAAAGGGAACAGTGCCACAGGGAGTCAGTTCTTAATAAGGAACCCAGACCTTCCCTTGTGATGTTCAAAGTGAACCTGCAGGTGTCAGAAGCTGAGCTCATATATGGTGAGCCCCCTAAGAATTCAACAGCTGACCCAGTGTATCAAGTGCACCTCATCACCCAGCTTCATCAGCACATGGCTGCCTGTGACCAGGTTCTGGCGGCATGCTACACCTTCCCATCTATATTCATGCACAGTGACCTTGAGAAGTGCATGAACGTCTTCCTCCAGCAAGATACAACTTGCTGGGCTTGGGATCTCCCCGCACAGTGACCCCTACCAGGTTCTGTCATGGAGAGAGAAAACACTGCAACTCTTGGTGTGCAAGAGGTCCATCGCTGTATCAACTGATGTGGTCAAGCCAGTCTACATCCTCAATGGGACTGACCACAGGAACTGATGTGGAAGCCTCCCACAGTGAAGCAAGCAGTACCCAATCAGTGCTCACCACAGAAGCTCCAGTGCCCATTGGTTCATGCACTGTCTAGTGATGAAGTATAAAGACGCGGACCTCTGACATGCTAGCAGCAGTCGCATGCTATGCTTACATGAAGACAGCAAAATAAGAGTGAGCTTCCGAGTATCAACACCATCAGCTGACTACATACGGTAACAGTGAGTCTCCTGGAATACACTGGCAGCTGACTCCACTAGCTCCCACCTGAATCCACCAGGAAGCTCACCACCCAACAGCTGGTTCACAAGCACCAAGCTGCTGCTCAAAGAAGACCGCTGATGCTAGCACTGGCTAGCCTGCTATGGCAGGAGCCTTGGCCTGCATTCATCAGGTGCACCCAGCTTCAGACAATCGACCTTTTTTGGGGCCAGCAATATCACTGCCATCACTAGCACATGCTAGCCCACTGTGAAAGTAGTTTTACCAGTATTCACTTCCCTGCTCATCTGTATATTCATTCTAACTACAATAAATATTTGTTTTAGAAGTTTACATGGTTGCCTCTCCTGTGCTACCAGATTAGACATCCCACACAACCAAGAAAAACACATACAGTCATATACAAGAACACCAAGTGACCACACAATCACGAACACACACAAATTCCATGTACTCATACAGTCTCAAATGCAAAAACATACAAAACCGAATGCTAATGAATATCACACATGCACACATAGCACAGGCAACCACAAACACACCTCCTGACACATGAATGCAGACACAACATATGTGTAGGTACGAAATATCCCACATACAAACACAGAATATCACATGAATATACACATAGACAAGAAAAAACTTTGAGAAGCATGAACACAAATGCCCCCATGAATATGTACATTAATACACATGCTTACATACATGAAGACATGCATAAACACACACATATGATATCAAAAACATGCACACATGAGTGCTAAAAATTAAGTTCATAGATAACTTGGAATATCTATAGTATAACATCACAAGGAGCTGGTAAGGAAGAAAGAATGAAAATATATTAAAAAGTTTAATCTTGAAGTCATATTGCATACATCTGTTAGAAAAATCGGTGTGTTTTGTGTAAGTTGTCTGTCCATTTCATTCACAATTGGAACTAAATATTTAACAATATGTTTTCTCAGTGTGCTTGTAGTTTCTTGTGTTATTTCCTCGACTGTCTTTACTGACACACATTTACCTTACAGGGTATTTTTCCTTTAATAAATTTCTCAGTATCTTTAGTTCTTCCACTCAAGATATTTTTACATGATATGATGCCCTCAGATTTAAATGCCCATTTAAAAACAAACACTTCGGTATAAGAGAAATCTTGAGAATGAAAGGACTCATTGTTGGTTGTTTTATGATGCTGTACTATTGGATGGTCAAATGACATGTGGTAAGATGATTATAATGATAAATTTGAAGGGAAGCAGGAGGAAACTTGTTGTACAACACTAACCTTGTATTCACCTGTGTAAACTAATGGAAGCCACAAAACCCTGTCACAGTAGCCAATATCCTGGCTCAGATTAGAACCCAGAACCTCTGGAATTCTAACCACTGTACCATAATATTATGGCACAGTCACGCATGATCTTTGTTCATTAGTCACGAATTGTAACCAAATTATGATCAGATTACTGTACACATTTGTACTCATTTCACTTTTGCTAGGTTAGCCACACATAGACATTTGTCCAGTTATTCCTCAAGCAACTTAACCTGCTAAACAAAATGCTGCCTGACAATCATAATGCAGGCAAGATTCATCACCTCCCTCCACTGTTGCATGTGAGAATATGAAGTGATTCAGGAACTGAATCCCTTGTTGGTTCAGCATTTCCATTAGATAGTTCTTTTGTAGGATATTTCACATTGCTTTCATCATCCAGAGGCCTGACAAAGCAAAAACAGTATCATTAATACCCTCTATTGAAGTAAAACCTGACTTTACATAAACTTATAAGATACAAATTTTCCCGGAGTAAGGTCCATGTTCACTGCTTGCAATGTGGCAGATGTTGAGATCACAAACACATTATAACATTACCAAAATTATAATTTGAATAGCTAATGCTATTCTGTGTTGTTATACATCAACATTGGCTGAAGTTTCCATGAACACCACTTCTTGTATACCCCAGAGATCAAAGTTGAGGGATATTAAATCTGGGTAAATATGAAACAGGGCTAATTATGACCATCTAACAACCGGGAAACTATTTATTTGGAGCAAATTGACCAAAGCTGTTAAAAGGGGATGTTGTAACATCTAGATAGAAATAATTCACCTTTCTCTTTTTCCAGTTGTAGAAAAGTGAATTTTGGGGGGAATATCAATGGAAATGGCTCATGTTATGGTCGATTCAGAAAAAGAGAGAAGTGTTTGAGCTGAGGCAGAATACAGTTCTGATATCATGTGGAACCACAAGAACTTGATTTCAAAGTGCATTTCTTCAACTTTGGTAAGATTTAAGCACAATAGACCACTGTAGGTCGCGGTGCAAGGGCCGAGAAGGCCTACCCCTCATATATTCATTCATTAGGTAAGATTTTGTCAATTTATGTTGCGGTTGCAACATACAACTCAATTACTGAGTGTACTTTGATAGATATACAGAGGTGAGATGTAAATGGACAGATCATGACATTAGAGCATATATATACAGGGTGTTTCACGACTTTAGGGCATAACTGCAGGAGGTGATTTCCTAGGTCTTTGTGATCAAAAAAGTTCATATAAACATGTGTCCGATTTTGGACGTTTAGAGAGTTATGACCATTTTAAACTCAGAATAGAAGGTAACGATCACTGACAATAAACACAATAAAATAATAAACCAGCATAACAAATGATACATTTAAAGTATGAATGTAAAGTTAACTTCGTGAAATTACCTTTAATTGAATTGATTGGTGCTTAAAGCTGATTTTCGAAAATGCCACCGCCAGCCACAACACAGGCTGCCCCTCGGTTGTGAACTGCGTGGGTAGCACATAGCAGCTTCAGCTGGCTGTTTCTTATGTGGTCAGTGGCATCCAGAATGCGACCAAGCAAAGCATCTCGCGTTGCCACTTTCACATTGTAAACCAGTTCTTTCATCCATCCCCACACACAATAATCCAGTGGGCTTAAGTCTGGAGACCTGGCTGGCAATTCTTTGCGTACCCGTACGTGGACTGCGGTGTACCATACGAACAATGCCTTCTTCATTGACACCTTCATTAACACCACGCTCGGCTGCAATACGAATGCCGGGAAGTCTACCGGTATCTTGCAATGCCTGGTAAACTCCAGTAAACACTCTCTGGTTCGGTGTTCTACGATTTGGAAACCATTTCTGATATTCAGCTATGGCAAGAACTGAGTTACTGTCACAAGACCCATACACTTAAATCATATCTGCATACTCCTCAAATGAGAATGTAAATGGCATCATGAACGTAACAGACACACCGAGATGAGAACTGTTCTGAACACCAGTAGCCGCCACACTAGTCACGGCTGGACATACCAACCCACCATGCCTTAGGTACCTCTCAAGTGTCGAGATAACGAGAACGCTCTGTCTGTAGCTGGCTAAAAATAGCGACCCGCTAGATGACAGACGCAGTTACAAGGATGTGTACAGGAATGAAAAAACAGTCATAACTCCGTAACCATCCAAAATCGGACACATATTTATATGAACTATTTTGATCACAAAGACCTAGGAAATCACCTCTATAGTTATGCCCTAAAGTCGTGAAACATCCTGTATTACATTACATTATATTACATTACATTACATGGATCCAAAGTTAGTCAAAATGACTGTAGGATGTGGAATATGTCATATAAGTGCAAAACATATGTACAGTTCCAGTGGAGTTCTCACACAAGAGAAACCAAGAATAAACAGTGACTACACACAAGGCTATTTAAGGGTACTTAAGTTATTTTCTAGACAATAGGTATTCATCAACAGAATAGAATGAATGTGTATTTAGATAGATCTGTGCAGAGATATAAGAGGACTCACAGATGGGTACATTTTGGCAGTGTGGGATTGATGGACTTGTAGGTGGGCAGATATTGATTGGTTGAATGGTGGAATATGTATGATATATGAGACAGGTACAATGAAACCGTGACACATAGACAGATGGATTGTATGGATGGTTGAGATGGATAGGTTAATAAGCAGGATAAATATGGGGAAAGTTGGTTATACAAGTAGAGAGGTAGAACAGTTAGGGAATTAGGATAAACAGATGGAGGGGCAGAAGAGGCAGGATGTATGGGTGAAGTAAATACACATAGAGTGAAATGTGGGGTAGATTAATAGAGATGGGATGAGACAGATCCATGATTAAACGGGACAGATATGTGTAATAAGATAAGATGAATATGTGGGCATATAAGGTAGGTATGTGGAGAGACTGGATGGTCATAATAAATGGAAAAACAGGGTTGATGTTTGTGTGACAATGGTATAGGAATAGGTGAGATACAGATATTATTAATGTAAGCCATGAATATAACCTCGGCGGTTGGTGGAAAAGTGCTGTGATTACCTTTTTCTCCTTGGACAGCTGAAAAGTTTGAAATTGGCTCCAAAAGCTTCCCCTTCTTCCAGGGTTTGTGGCAGGTGAATGTTGAGCGTTTCAGGCAGAAAAACAGAGGCTAAGGCTCCAGCAACAGAGAGTGTGCCCATTATAATGAGAGGCAATACTCTGCTATACACTGCCTGAAATTTTATCAAGAAACAAACTTTGCAAACAATTTTATAGTAACTTTTTTTGGTTTGTGAAAGTTTATGCTTGGAATCAGAAAAAAATGTATGAAATTAATGTTTTACAAACATTAATACATATATATTTATACAGGAATTGAATATTACACAGCTATCTCCACAGGGCTTACTCTTTCTTTAGTAGGTTATAGTCACTTAGTCAAGGAATTCGCTTCCTTTTATACAGAGTGGGGCGCAGAAACTTCCTTTTTGTGAAGACAAATTGTGAAGGGAGGGGAGGTCGCAGACAATTGGGGATAGGCTCGGCAAACGCGGCAGTCGCTGAAGTTTCTGTCTAACTCTTTGACTGGCGCGGGCGTGTTTTAACGCCCGGACGATGCCAGCTGTTCCCTGGCGTTGGCGTGTTTTAACGCTTTGACAATCTCTTCCCTTCTATGCTCTCTTGGCACTCATCAACCAAAGACATATA